CCATGAGGAAAAATCATTATCGTTGTCGCCACCATCAGTTACTTCATCGTCATTATCAACGTCGTCATCGAGACCAATATCATCACTATCATCAGGAACAACAACAAGAGCAACAGAAATATTTTCAAAAGAAATATCCAGGAAGAATGCATCGTTTTGTAATAATGGAAATGCTTTTGCAGAAGGAAAAACAACTGGAAGTTGCGGCTAAAATTGGAATCGAACTGCTTCAGCTCAACGACAATCTTCGAGCCAGGTACGTTCTGAACTCTGCACTGTTTTTAAATTTTTGTCCATTTTTGCTGAATTTCTTTATATCCAAATTCATAGGCTTTAAAAATATTTGTATTCAGCTTAGCACATTACTGTATTCATGCAAGGGCTCTTTACTGTGTCTTACTTCAACTAGGATGAAGAGTAAGAGAATCTTCAGTGAGACTTATGCTATGCACAAAGTCAAGACTAAGGCATGAAATAAAAACTGCTTCGCCATATGCTTTTTAAACATATGATTTACTGTTCCTATGCAATTCGGGACCGAAGAGCATGACATAGCTGCGCTCCTTCTATGGAAGCATCCTAGTAACATTACTAACAGCGGATTCCCATACTGACAGCCCGAGCGGTCTTGATGTTCTTGATATTTCTATGCCTCGCTTTTCAATATCTAAATCACTGTAGGGAGAATAGTGCTGTCTGTGCACCAGTTCAAACATCAAAGCCACATCCTGGAATCAATCCATAACCGTCCACCAAAATACTCTTCAATACCCATCATTTTTTTCTCCTAATGTGGCCATTTTGTTCAGTGCGTCATTGAATCTGTTGAGCTTTTTATTTTTCAACTCATTTCAACACTTTTCAACTTGTCTCTATCAATTTCATTGACTTTTCATGCTTGACATACACAGATTAGCGCGAAAATTCTGTTCGATGAAGGAGTGAAAAATTTTCAGGAATGAATTTTTGGAAAGCGCACTGCATGCTTCCACCGATTCGATTGTGCAATTACGGCATGAGCTGCAGTTGCGTTCCAATCTACTGCATATCTGTGCCGATTATGACAACGATTCGGAAGCTCCCACATCCAGGCATGCTTCTGCTGTCACTAATTTTTATAAAGCGCAAACAACTTGTGGCTTCTTAACATCAGTTCAAAGCTTCTAAATTTTTTGTAATTTGTTATATTTTTGGTCCAGTAAATCGGCACTTTTTTGCCTAACATTCCTTGAAATGTAAATTGCCTCAGTTTGCTTTCAAGCACTCCTCGATCGAAGATTGCCTAGGAATTTAAATTTACTTATTCCAGTTGTGGTGCTGAACAGGAATGTATACGACACTGTGGGCTGAGTTATTCCTCCCCAGTTATTTATTTCTCTGTGTGCTATATTAAACAGTATTACTGTGTATTTCTTATATAGTATTTTCCACCCACTGCGTGTTCTTTAAAAATCCCTTTGTTGTTCCTCCCGCTATTGTAACGTTTACTCTTTATTGTTCTTGCGGTTCCTAGGTCTTGAATATTTCAAATTTGGTGTTCTTTCGGTAACCTCAGCGTGGGTTGCAAGTGATTTTTTGCAGTACTGAAATTTTCTAATAACGCTTGAATCTCGTTGAAATTCTTTCACTTTTGATAAGTGGACAACGAATGAATAATATCTTTTTTGCATCATTCAACAGCTTTCGTAGCTGTATGCTTAAACTAATTTAGAAGTACTTAAAAAACACTTGACCACTAGTGACTTCGCTTTTCCGTCTCCAGTTGTTGCAAGAATTTGACTATCCGATAACTAAGATAATGATAAAGTCGGGAGGAGAATTTAAAAGAAAATGTGCAGATTTCCTTAAAAAGAAAATTTAATTGACATCTTCTTCTTTAAATCTTAGTTCCTGCGAAACAAAGTTTAGATAGAAAATTTTGGTTTTAAATAGGAAAAATTTGGTTTTAAATTATCTGAAGTTTTCTAAAATTGTTGTTTCGTTGCCATTATGTTTGCTGATTTATAAATACTCCAATGAAATCGGATTATGTAAGTGCAGGTCGGGCCGTTCCGCTCTCTGTGATACTCATAATCCAAAATGTGCAAGTGGAGCAAATTTGCGGGTATGATGCATTCCACGCCAACCATCTTTAATGCACTAGAAATAATAGATCTAATTTTACTGATATTTGCAGTCACTCGCGGACGAATAACGAAATTCTCGGACGAAAAATCGAGGTTTTGGAAGAGGAAAATCGGAGTTTGAGGACTGAGGTACGAAGGAGTAGTTTTATTTCTTCAGCTTTTCTTCTAAATAATGGCGGGTTAGTGGCTCAGGAAGAAAATTAAGAACAGTGAGGCAGACCAACTGCTTTAAAAAGAATTAG